TTTTTGAAACATCCTGTAGAATTACAGAGATAGAAGAGACCTCAAGGTCTATCTCGCCTTACCTCCTTCTACACTGATTTTTGGAACCTCGCACATGTTGAATACGCTTTATCAAAAATGCTTAGGATCTGAAGTATGCATTTTGGATTTTAGTGTGAGGAAGACATGTACAGGCAGTCCCCGAATTACGAACAACAAATTACACCGGATTTCTAGTTACAAAGGGGGGTGAGAAAACAGGAAGTGAAATCTACTTCTAGGAAGGGAAATTCACTCCTGTAAGAGTTGTCATGGGAGAAAAGGTATCTCCACTGAAGCTCAAATCGATTTCCACGGCAACCCATTTTTTTCAAAATCTAACTGTTACAGGGACAGAAAGTGAGGCAAAATCTTCCGACAACAGGATTGCAAATCCTTCCTTAAGCTGTCAAACACTAACACTAACACTAATAATAATAATAATAATAATAATAATAATAATAATAATAATAATAATAATAACAATAATAATAATAGCTTGTAGGCTTTCACTGGAATCACTGGGTGAGAAAACAGGAAGTGAAATCTACTTCTAGGAAGGGAAATTCACGCCTGTAAGAGTTATCATGGGAGAAAAGGTATCTCCACTGAAGCTCAAATCCATTTCCACGGCAACTCATTTTTTTCAAAATCTGTTACAGGGACAGAAAGTGAGGCAAAATCTTCCGACAACAGGATTGCAAATCCTTCCTGTCTAACACTAATAATAATAATAATAATAATAATAATAATAATAATAATAGCTTGTAGGCTTTCACTGGAATCACTGGGGTGTTGTATGATTTCCAGGCTGTATGGCTGTGTTCTAGCAGCATTTTCTCCTGACGTATACATCCTACACTTGCTTTACTACCACCAGATCCTCTGAAGACGCCAGCCACAGATGCAGGTGAAATGACAGGAGAAAATGCTGCTAGAACATGGCCATTCAGCTTGGAAACCACGCAACACTCCAATTAAACAGTAACAGTGTAGTAAAAACAGAATTAAAATACAATAAATACACTTAAAATGGACTATTTTTGAACAGAAATATTAGAAGTGTCTTCTTCTTCTTCTTCTTCTGATAATAATAATAATAATAATAATAATAATAATAATAATAAATTGCTGTAGGTCAGCCAAACAGCCTGGATCTGAACCATATAGAGCAATTGTTCTCAACTTGTGGGTCCCCAGGTGTTTTGGCCAACAACTCCCAGAAATCCCAGCCAGATTACGAGCTGTTGGGATTTCTGGGAGTCGAAGGCCAAAACATCTGGGATCCACATACTGAGAACTACTGGTCTAGGGCTTTAAAGGTCATAACCAGCACTTTGAATTGTGCCTGGAAACAGACTGGCAGCCAGTGGAGCTGCTTCAACAGGGGAGTGTCTGTTCCCTGTAACCAGTGAACAACCTGGCTGCAGCTCTTTGGACCAGCTGAAGTTTCCGAGCACTCTTCGGAGGTAGCCCCATGCAGAGCATGTTACAGAAATCTAGATGGGATGTAACTAAGGCATGGACCACCATGGCCAGATCTGGCTTCTCAAGGAATGGGCACAGTTGGTGCACAAGTTTAATTGTGCAAAGGCCCTCCTAATTACAACGGACACCTGGGCCTCCAGGTTCAGTGCCAAGTGGAGGAGGACCCCCAAACTATAGATCCATATCTTGCTGCAATAGGGATCCAGCACAGTGTGCAATAGGGATCCAGCACAGGCTGGATCCCTATTCCCTGGTATGCTTTCCGACTGACCAGGAGTATCTCTGTCTTGTCTGGATTTAGTTTCAATTTGCTTGCCCTCATCCAGTCCCTTACTGACGACAGGCACTGATTTAGAGTTGGGTTACATACAAAAGTAACTTGAAAGAGATTCTGTGTATGGGGAGAAAAAACAGTGGAAGATATCGAAGATTTCTTAATTGACTGTCCAGCATATGCTGAACTGCAAAACACACATTTACATCCAATATTATCCAACTACAGGTCCCCCAGCAGAAATGATTTTCTGACATTCTTCTTGCAAGGACAAGAAAGATCTACCATAATCAGAATGTGCCTTTTTATTCTGAAAGCTATCAAGAAAAGAGCAGATTTCCTGAAAGAAGAACCAGGAAAATAAGATTCTGACTGTAAATAGAAGGTCAGCTGCTGTCTTTTCCTTTTTGCCTTGTATTTTGTTCGTGTTGTATTTTGAAATGGTCATATGACTAGTCAAATAAACAAATTTTTATTATAATTATTACAAAAGTAACTTAGGAACTTTGATGGCTGAAAGCGAGGAGGAGCTGAGGAGCCTTCTAATCAAGGTGAAAGTAGAAAGCACAAAAGCTGGGTTGCAGTTAAACATAAAAAAACAAAGATTATGTCAACAAGAATGATTGACAACTGGGAAATAGAGGGAGAAAACGTGGAGGCAGTGACAGACTTCGTATTTTTAAGTGCAAAGATTACTGCAGACGCAGACTGCAGTCAGGAAATCAGGAGACCACTTACTTCTTGGGAGGAAAGCAATGACCAATCTTGATAAAATAGTGAAGAGTAGAGACATCACACTGGCAACAAAGATCCACATAATCAAAGCAATGGTATTCCCCGTAGTCACCTACGGATGTGAGAGCTGGACCATAGGGAAGGCTGAGTGAAGGAAGATAGATGCTTTTGGACTGTGGTGCTGGAGGAAAGTTCTGAGAGTGCCTTGGACTGTGAAAAGATCCAACCAGTCCATACTTCAGGAAATAAAGCCTGACTGCTCATTGGAGGGAAGGATAGCAGAGGCCAAGATGAAGTATGAGAAGAAAGGAAAGCTTAGAAAAGACAATGATGCTGGGGAAAATGGAAGGAAAAAGGAAGAGGGACTGACCAAGGGCAAGATGGATGGATGGCATCCTTGAAGTGACTGGATTGACCTTGAAGGAGCTGGGGGTGGTGACGATCGACAGGGAGCTCTGGCGTGGGCTGGTCCATGAGGTCATGAAGAGTCGGAAACGACTGAACGAATGAACAACAATTTTGTAATGGTCATATGACTAGTCAAATAAACAACTTATTATAATTATTAATAAAAATAACTTAGGAACAAAGCCACAGAACCCATATTGTTCATAACCTGCATTTACCTAAATGCACATAAAGAAATATCTTGGAAATGGGTTTCCCGAGTCAAAATCCAAGATACATTTATGGTTCATATTAGACACTTTTTACGCACATAGCCTTAAAGTAATCTATCTATATATATAAATGCTCTGTGCATAATTAGTACCTTAAAAACAAAAGAACCAATGAATGAAATCACACCAAATTTGCAACAAAACGTTTCACAACACAAGGAGTGACCATCACTCAAAAAATATGATTTTGTCATTTGGGAGTTGTAGTTGCTGGGATTTATAGTTCACCTACAATCAAAGAGCATTCTGAACTCCACCAACGATGGAATTGAACCAAACTTGGCACACAGAACTCCCATGACCAACAGAAAATATTGGAAGGGTTTGGTGGCATTGACCTTGAGTTTGGGAGTTGTAGTTCACCTACATCCAGAGAGCACTGTGGACTCAAACAATGATGGATCTGAACCAAACTTGGCACAAGCACACAATATGCCCAAATATGAGCACAGATGGAGTTTGGGGGAAATAGACCTTGACATTTGGGAGTTGTAGTCACTGGGATTCACAGTTCACCTACAATCAAAAAGCATTCTGAACCCCACAAACGACAGAATTGGGGCAAACTTCCCACACAGAACCCCCATGACCAACAGAAAATACTTAAGGCCATCCAATCCAACTCCCTTCATCAGGGCAAGAAAACGTAATCAAAGTCCTCCTGACAAAGAGCCATCTCGCCATAGAGATAGATAGATGGATGGATGGATAGATAGATATGATTCACACACACAAAGACATAGATTTGAAAGGGACCCCCTAAAGGAGGACAATGATATGTTGCATGTTCCAGAGTAGGCAAACCAGACAGTCTCCACATCAACACTGACAAAGAAACAGCTAGAAATACTGTTTACTCACAAGCATAAAGGAATTGCATATATTAGAAACCAACACTTTCTAATTTCTTTGTTTTCCAGATCAACAGACTGGGCCACAGCAACGCGTGGCAGGGGACAGCTAGTTTCATATAAATTATATTATATGGGATGAAACAAAACATTTGTGTCTGTTGAGACTACCCAAAAAGCAAAGCTGTCAACAAGACACCCACTTGGGAGGATTTCAGACAAGGGATGCTCCACCTGAACACCTCAGAGTACAATATAAAAGGGATAGCAGGTGGAGACCCTACACCAGGCATGGGCAAACCTCGGCCCTCCAGGTGTTTTGGACTTCAACTCCCACAATTCCTAACAGCCGATAGGCTGTTAGGAATTGTGGGAGTTGAAGTCCAAAACACCTGGAGGGCCGAAGTTTGCCCCTGCCTGGCCTACACAGCGCCCCCGCCTCGCCCAGGCCTCTCACCCGAAGGCCGCGTGGGCTCCTGCCCATGCCAAGGCGCTCCTGGCCGGCCTTTCCCACACGAGCGTGGCCTGCAGGCCGCTCAACGCCGGCTCGTAAGGCCCGAGGCGGCCCCTCAGAGAGGAGCTCAGGGCGCGCACTCGTTGCTCCCGCTGCTCCGCCGCCGGGGCCTGGACGCCTCTGAGGGAACCACTCCCGCCGCCATTGCTGCTCTCTTCTTCCCCCGCCGCTTCCATTCTTCTTCTTCCCCTCACAAAAAGCCCAGCGTCACCGGGAGACCGGTGGAACTGGCGGCAGGAACATTTCGTTTCCCCGTCACCAACGGCCGAGAGAGAGAGGAGGGGGGCAGGCTCTGTCTCAACACAAGAAGCCGGTGCGCGCGTGCGCACAACACTGTCATGGCCGCCCCCTCTACTATGTTGCCTCCGCGCCATCTTGGCGTACGGCAGGAGACTTGCGCTCGCGTCTTTCATCCAATGAATTGAGGGGGGAAATGTTTTCTGCCGCGCATGCGCGTTGCCAGGGAGAGAGAGCGGCTAGCAAGAGGGAGAAAACACAGAAAGCGCGCGGCTAACGGCGGCGTTTTATTTCTAGGCGGGAAGCGGGCGGAGAAGGAGCCGCCATGCCGAGGGAGATCATCACGCTGCAGCTGGGCCAGTGTGGCAACCAAAGTAAGGCTCCAAAGAGGGCGAAGAGGGCAACCAAACGGGCCTATGGGTCTTTCTTCCTCAGTGGAAACGAATGGGGCTGGGCCTAGGCTTTGGGCGAAGGGTCTTAGGGCCTTTCCAGACAGGCCCCATATCCCAGGACCGGATCCCAGATTTTCTGGATTATATGAGTCCACACTGCCAGATAATCTAAAGCCCCTTCCACACAGCTGTATATAACCCCACATTTTCCGCTTTGAGCTGGAATATATATATACAAACACACATACATACACACATATATATAAAAAGAGGGGGGCCCAGGAAGACAGTTCCATCTTATCTCCTGTTTTGCTAATTATTTATTTATTTATTTACTTTACTTTACTTGTATACCGCAGTTTCTCAGCCTAACAAGCGACTCAACGCGGTTTACAACAAGGATAAGATCAATCAACGATATACAATTTAAAACCATTAGAGCACAATATACAATATTGACACAACAATAACAACACAATGCATCTCATAACTAGAGTCGTAATCCGAATTCGTCGTCCATATTTCCATTCCTGTAATTGTCACATTCATTGCACTGATTAACCAAATGCCTGTTCAAACATCCAAGTTTTTAATCTCCTTCGGAACACCATTAGTGAGGGGGCTGATCTTACCTCCATGGGAAGGGCGTTCCACAGCCGAGGGGCCACCACAGAAAAGGCCCTGTCTCTCGTCCCCGCCAGCCGCACCTGTGAAGCAGGCGGGATAGAGAGCAGGGCCTCCCCAGAAGATCTTAGGGTCCTGGCGGACTCATAGGCAGAGATACGTTCGGATAGGTAGCTTGGGCCAGAACCGTTTAGGGCTTTAAAGGCCAAAGCCAGCACTTTGAATTGAGCCCGGTAGCAAATCGGCAGCCAGTGGACCTGGTGCAGCAGAGGAGTTGTATGCTCCCTGCGCTCCGCTCCTGTTAGTATCATGGCTGCCGAGCGTTGGACTAGTTGAAGCTTCCGAGCCGTCTTCAAAGGCAACCCCACGTAGAGAGCGTTGCAGTAGTCTAAACGGGATGTAACCAGAGCGTGGACTACCATGGCCAAGTCAGACTTCCCAAGGTACGGGCGCAGTTGGCGCACGAGTTTTAACTGTGCGAATGCTCCCCTGGTCACCACCGAAACCTGGGGTTCCAGGCTCAGCGATGAGTCCAGGATCACACCCAAGCTGCGAACCTGCGTATTTACTGTGTTTGTATACCGCCTTTCTCAGCCCGTAGGAGACTCAAGGCGGTTAACAGGTAAAATTCAATGCTTACAATATCATAAATATAATTAAAAACATAACATATAATAAAAACTGTTCACAAGGGTCCCAACTCTATACACAAAGGGTATGCCTCATTGTTTGTCTTTATTTTCTTTTCATTATTGTATTTAAATATAAATACAAAGTCAGGAAATACTATATATATATATATATATATATATATATATATATATATATAATGTTTATAATATTATAATGTAATACAACATCATAATAATAACAATAATATGATATTATAATTATATATTTTATGTTATCTATATAAATAAAAATGTAATGTTAGTTCGTGCTGCCATCAGAACTCAAAAACCACTGGGGGAATTGGCACCAAATTTGGACACAAGACACCTAACAGTCCAATTTATGTCCTCCACTCAAAAAAACTGATTTTGTCATTTGGGAATTGTTGTTGCTGGGATTTATAGTTTACGTACAATCAAAGAACATTCTGAGCTCCACCAATGATGGAATTGGGCCAAACTTAGCACACAGGGCTCCCATGACCAACAGAAAAAACTGGAAAGGTTGGTGGACATTGACCTTGAGTTTGGGAATTATAGTTCACCCACATCCAGAAAGAACTGTGGACTCAGACAATGATGGATCTGGACCAAACGTGGCACGAATATTCCATATGCCCAAATATGAACACACATGGAGTTTAAGGGAAATAGACCTTGACATTTGGGAGTTGTAGTTGCTGGGATTTATAGTTCACCTACAATCAAAGAGCATTCTGAACTCTTATCAACGATGGAATTCAACCAAACATGGCATACAGGACTTCCATGACCAACAGAACACACTGGAAGGGTTTGGTGGGCATTGACCTTGAGTTTGGGAGTTGTAGTTCACCTACATCCAGAGAGCACTGTGGACTCAAACAATGATGGATCTGGACCAAACTTGACACAAAAATTCCATATGCCTAAATATGAACACAGATGGAGTTTGATGGAAATGGACCTTGACATTTGGGGTTTGTAGTTACTGGGATTTATAGTTCACTACAATTAAAGAGCATTCTGAAACAGAAATGGGGCAAACTTCCCACACAGAACCCCCATGACCAACAGAAAATACTTAAGGCCAACTCTATTCACCAGGGCAAGAAAATGTAATCAGAGCCCTCCTGACAAATAGCCATCCAGCCATAAATATAGATAGATAGATATTATTCTCACACACACAGATATAGTATCACAGATTGGAAAGAGACCCTTAAAGAAGAACTATGATATGTTGCATATTCCAGAGTAGGCAAACCAGACACTCTCCACATCAACACTGACAAAGAAACAACAAGAAATACTGTTTACTCACAAGCGTAAAGGAATTACATATATTAGAAACCAACACTTTCTCATTACTTTATTTTCCAGATCACCAGACTGGGCCACAGCAACGCGTGGCAGGGGACAGCTAGTATGTAATATTACTAATAATATTACAGTACAATGGCATAGTACAATATAGTAATATATAATACTGATATTGTGCTATGCTTGTAATATATATTATATGTATATATATATTGTAAGCCACTCTGAGTCCCTTCCGGGGTGAGTTGTTGTTGTTCATTCGTTCAGTCGTTTCTGACTCTTCGTGACGTCATGGACCAGTCCATGCCAGAGCTTCCTGTCGGTCATCACCACCCCCAGCTCCTTCAAGGTCAATCCAGTCACTTCAAGGATGCCATCCATCTATCTTGCCCTTGGTCGGCCCCTCTTCCTTTTTCCTTCCATTTTCCCCCAGCATCATTGTATTCTCTAAGCTTAATAATAATAATAATAATAATAATCATATATTATTATTATTATTATTATTATTATTATTATTATTATTCTCTAAGCTTTCCTTTCTTCTCAAGATGCGGCCAAAGTACTTCATCTTGGCCTCTACTATCCTTCCCTCCAATGAGCAGTCAGGCTTTATTTCCTGGAGGATGGACTGGTTGGATCTTCTCGCTGTCCAAGGCACTCTCAGCACTGTCCTCCAGCACCACAGTTCAAAAGCCTCTATCTTTCTTTGCTCAGCCTTTCTTATGATCCAGCTCTCACATCCATAGGTGATTACAGGGAATACAATTGCTTTGATTATGTGGATCTTTGTTGCCAATGTGATGTCTCTACTCTTCACTATTTTATCGAGATTGGACATTGCTCTCCTCCCAAGAAGTAAATGTCTCCTGGTTTCCTGGCTGCAGTCTGCATCTGCAGAAATCTTTGCGCCTAGGAATACAAAGTCTCCAAAGTTTCTCCCTCTATTTCCCAGTTGTCAATCATTCTTGTTGCCATAATCTTTGTTTTTTGATGTTTCGCTGCAACCCAACTTTTGCACTTTCTTCTTTCTCCTTGATTAGAAGGCTCAGCTCCTCCTCGCTTTTGGCCATCAAAGTGCTATCATCTGCATATCTAAGGTTGTTAATGTTTCTTCCAGCAATTTTCACCCCAGCCTTGCATTCCTCAAGCCCCCCACATTGCATGATGTATTCTGCATACAAGTTGATCGGTGTGAGAAGGGCGGCATATAAATGTCGCAAATAAATACATAAATATATGGCAGTGTGGACTCAGATAATGCAGTTCAAAGCGGATACCGTGGATTATCTCCCTTGATATTCTGGGTTATATGGCTGTGTGGAAGGGGCCTCAGATAACGCAGTTCAAAGCAGATTTTATTCATTTGTGTGGAAGGGGCCTTTGTCTCCTGGTCTTCCTATATTTTTTTCCAGTTCTCTGATGAAAATAGATCGTAACTTTTCATCACAGATTGTTTCACATTAAATCTTTTATTAAATTATTTATTATTGTTATTGTTATACACGAAGAAAATTCTACAGTTTTCCATTACATTATTAGAAGGTTAGTATTTATGTGATTTTTTTCATAATTCTTTCGCTCATTTTGCATTACATCAAATGGTCTTCTCCCTTTCACTCTTGCAGTTGGGTTTGAATTCTGGAAGCAGCTTTGTGCAGAGCATGGCATCAGTCCTGAGGGCATTGTGGAGGAATTTGCCACAGAGGGTACTGATCGCAAAGATGTGTTTTTCTATCAGGTAAGATAGTTTTCTGTGGGCGGTTTTCTTCTAAGTATGCAGAAGATTCAATGCCTGTGGCTTGTGAGCACACTCATTCTTCTCATTGAGTTGTGCACTTTATTTACTTCCCTGTTTGGGTTTGCTCTTAAGTGATGATTTCTTAAAAGCTGTATCACTTGTCCTTTTGTGAAAATAATTGAGTTGTATTCTTCACTTGAGATCTGGGGTGCATTTACACTGTGAAATTAATGCAGCTTGATGTCACCTTAACTGCCATGGCTCAATGCTATGGAATCCTGGGAATAATAATAATTTTAAAAAACTTTATTGAGAACACAAAAATGCTGGACCACTCTAACAACTACCATGTCAGGCTACACAGAGAAGCCATTGAAATCCACACGCATGTGGACAATTTCAGCAGAAAGGAAGAAACCATGAAAATGAACAAAATCTGGCTACCAGTATTAAAAAATATAACAGTAAATAAAGAATAAAAATTAAATACAGGGGAACTCCAGGCAAGAAACAATCAGGAACACCTAATCACCCCAGGCAGGAACAAGGCCCACCTTGTCAGACCATCAAATGCTAGTCAAGGTGGTCAGTTGAAACATTCATACCTACCTCCTGTGATGATGTTGTTTGTTGTTTGTGTTTTTGGTTTTATTCCGCTGTAATATGTTGTCCGGGCTTGACCCCATGTAAGCCGCTCCGAGTCCCCACTGGGGAGATGGTGGCGGGGTATAAATAAATTTTATAATTATATTATTACCTCCATCAGACAATAGTTCTTTCTCCCACCCTGGACTTTTCACAGATATATAAATCCAATTTTATATAAATCCAAATTCCAACAGACCTCACAACCTCTGGACAGTTCCTGGGAAAAATTGAGAGCAAAATTGATAAGGAAAAAACATGGATGTGGCTCACATAAAACTTTGAAAAAGGAGACAGAGAGTCTGATTCTGGCAGCCCAAGAACAAGCAATTAGAACAAATACCATCAAAGCCAGAATTGAAAGTCGACAACAGATTCCAAGTGTAAACTCTGCAAGGAAGCAGACGAAACGATGAATCACATACTCAACTGCTGCAAGAAGATCGCGCAGACGGATTACATGCAGAGGCATAATACAGTTGCTCAGATGTTCCATTGGAACTTGTGCCACAAACCTGTGGGATCACAAACCTGAAAACGTTATGTAAAATAAACACGTTAAACTACTCTGGGACTTCCGAATTCAGACTCACAGAATTTTGGAGCTTAACATTCCTGACCTCACGATTGTGGAAAAAAACAAGGTATGGATCATCGAAGTTGCAATCCCAGGCAACAGCGGAACTGAGAAGAAACTGGAACACCTAATATGATATGAGAATTTATTTATTTATTTATTTACATTATTTATATCCCGCCCATATCAGCCCGCAGGCAGCTCAGGGCAGTCTACATATCTGAGATTGAACTGCAAAGACTCTGGCACAAGACAATAAAGGTGGCCCCAGTGGTGATCGGCACACTGAGTTCATTTCCTAAAGACCTTGGCCTGCATTTAAAAACAATTGGCATTGACAAAATTATCATGTCAGCTGCAAAAGGCCATCCTACTTGGAACTGCACACATTATTTGCCAATACATCTCATAGTCTATACTTTTGGGAAGTGTCAGATGTGTGATCCAATACAAAAGCCAGCATTGTGATCTTGTTTGCTGTGTACTAATCTTGTGTATCTAATAATAATAATAATAATAATAATAATAATAATAATTCTTACCTGTCTTTCCTTGTGGCTCAAGGCAGATTTTTAAATCATTTTATGTACATGCAGCCCGCTCTCTGTCATTCTGTTATTATGTTTAGTTCTGATGTTCTGTGTATATTGTTTTATATGCTTTGATGTTTTATTTTAATGTTATGTTGTTTATTTTATTGCAATTTGTATTGTTATATTGTAATTCTTGTTCGGGCTTGGCCCCATGTAAGCCACTCCGAGTCCCCATTGGTGGGATGGTGGCGGGGTATAAAGTTTATTATTATTATTATTATTATTATTATTATTATTATTATTATTATTAACATAAACATTATTTTAAAAATTCCACAAATACACATATTAAAATGTATTTCTATACAATTAGTGGGTGCTCATTTCCTATTATATTCAGTGACATAGTAAAATGGTGTCCTTTTATAAAGTGGCAACAACATCTTTCATGATTTTTGCTTTTAATGTTTTTGAGGCCATGGATAGTTGAAACCATGGAAACAGAGCTGACGGCATTATCTCTTAGCCATGCACAATTATACTACTGAGAGAACCCTCTTCTACACTGTCCTTATATCCCAAGATCTGTTCCCAGGTTATCTGCTTTGAGCTGGATTATATGAGGGCTCTTCAACAAAGCCCCATAACCTAGAATATCAAGGCAGATAATCAACAATATCTGCTTTGAACTGGGTTATCTGAGTCCATACTGCCATATAATCCATTTCAATGTGTGGAAGGGGCTTGAGTCGCCACTGCCAGATAATCTGGGATCCGATCCTGGAATATAGGGCAGTGTCGATCCAGCCTGAGAGATGAGAAACCAATCCTGATCCTTTTTAGTTCTTCTGGTGTTCTGAAATACCCACTGACAATCTTCAATGCTATATTTAAAAATCTGTGTGATGTAATAGAAGTCTAGCGTCAATAGGAACTGAGAAAAGAGCGCATACAGTGCCCCCTTGTGGCAGTTGCTACTAAGGAGAACCAAAGATTGGAAACCACTGATCTATTGAGCGTATTTCTTTCTGGAGCTATGTAGTCAGACAATAGTTTGGAAAGACAGAACAATGTCGGAACTACTGTCCTGAAGATTGATCAGAATGTTTGCATTCCTTGTTAACAGGCAGATGATGAGCACTATATCCCGCGAGCTGTTCTCTTGGACTTAGAACCACGAGTGATACATTCCATTCTGAACTCCCCATATGCCAACCTGTACAATCCAGAAAATATATACCTGTCTGAGCATGGCGGTGGGGCTGGGAATAACTGGGCCAGTGGATTTTCACAGGTAAGAGACTCAAGAACCAATAGCAAATGTGTGCTGTTTTCTTGTAGCTAGATGTAAATACTTTATACTCAACAATTTTATTTCATGCTCTCTATTTGCTGAAGTGACTAAAATAAGCATATCTACTTTCAGAGCAGAGCGTTCCAAACATTTCATGTTGGTGAGACACCTTTAGACATTGCATTGTTTCACGACACAGTAATTCAGTTTTACTAGGAAACCGGAGGTTAATCCACCCCTTATAAGAGACACAGACATATACATAAATTGGAATAACGACATAGAATCAAAGAGTTGGAAGAGACCTCATGGGCCGTCCAGTCCAACCCCCTGCCAAGAAGCAGGAGTATTGCATTCAAAGCCCCCCTGACAGATGGCCATCCAGCCTCTGTTTAAAAGCTTCCAAAGAGGGAGCCTCCACCACACTCCAGGGCAGAGAGTTCCACTGCTGAACAGCTCTCGCAGTCAGGAAGTTCTTCCTCATGTTCAGATGGAATCTCCTTTCTTGTAGTCTGAAGCCATTGTTCATAGTCTCCAGGGAAGCAGAAAACAAGCTTGCCCCCTCCTCCCTGTGACTTCGTCTCACATATTTACATGGCTATCATATCTCCTCTCAGCCTTCTCTTCTTCAGGCTAAACATGCCCAGCTCCTTAAGCCGCTCCTCATAGGGCTTGTTCTCCAGACCCTTGATCATTTTAATTGCCCTCCTCTGGACAAATTCTAGCTTGTCAACATCTCCTTTAAATTGTGGTGCCCAGAATTGGACACAATATTCCAGGTGTGGCCTATCCAAAGCAGAATAGAGGGGTAGCATTACTTCCCTAGATCTAGACACTATGCTCCTATTGATGCAGGCCAAAATCCCATTGGCTTTTTTTTTGCCACCACATCACATTGTTGGCTCATGTTTAACTTGTTGTCCATGAGGAGACACAACATATCTCATGAAAACCTTCCATTTATACTTTTTAAAAATACATGATTTATTCTTTATTTCACACAGACTTAGAAGTTTCTCGTTAAGTTCGTGCGACACATCTATGCTCTACAGCCGAAGCACAAATGTGTCATGTCACAGTTTGGAAAACTCTGTTCTAGAGCATCACTATACCGAGATTTTACAACTGGAAATAAAATTAATGTTTGATTATTTTTTTCTGCTTTGGCTTGCAGGGGGAAAAGATTCATGAAGATATTTTTGATATTATAGACAGAGAAGCTGATGGCAGTGACAGCTTAGAGGTAAGGGAAATGATAAAGACCAAGTGGACATGGAGGCTCAACAATATGTTTCAACTTTGTTATTTCTGTCTTTAATGTCAGCATTTTCCCAGACTAGGTGCAGGAAGGAGTTTTTGCTTTATTGGTGGAATTTGATAATGTCCTTATTGCATATCCAAAGCTGTCTTGCTTATAAACATCTTGAAGGTTTTCTCGTCAATGATTATTAGAACCGGCAATCAAATCTTCTATATAAATAAAAATGCAATGTTTGTTTGTGGGAATTAACGTAACTCAAAAACCACTGGACGAATTAACACCAAATTTGGACACAATACATCTATCAGGCCAACAAGTGACCATCACTCATAAAAACACTGAAAAACACAGCAGAAGAGACTTAAAAAGCCAACCCCCCCTCCCAAAATGCATTACAGCGCATGCGCAAAACCACATATATACACAAGCACACATATACACAAATATATACCCACACACACACACACACATATATATATATATATATATACACACACACACACGAAACACATATACACATATACACAGCAACACGTGGCAGGGGATGGCTAGTACTTAAATGTTAACGCTCCATAAGACACAATAATCGGTAGCTATTCTATAGCCCTGCTTTCTTTCAGATGCCTGAGGGTAGTATACAAGATTGTTGGGCCCCCACTACTGCCTCAGGACTCTGTTATAGTTTAGGGCAGTGTTTCTCAACCTGGGGGTCGGGACCCCTAGGGGGGTCATGAGGGGGTGCCAGAGGGGTCACCAAAGAGCAGCAGAAAACACAGTATTTTCTATTGGTCATGGGGGTTCTGTGTGGGAAGTTTGCCCAATTCTGTGGTTGGTGCGAATGCTCTTTGATTGTAGGTGAACTATAAATCCCAGCAACTACAACTCCCAAATGTCAAGGTCTATTTTCCCCAAACTCCATCTGTGTTTACATTTGGGCATATGGAGTATTCATGCCAAGTTTGGTCCAGATCCATCATTGTTTGAGTCCACAGTACTCTCTGGGTGTAGGTAAACTGTAATTCTAGAACTCAAGGTCAATGCCCACTAAACCCTTCCAGTATTTTCTGTTGGTCATGGGAGTTCTGTGTGCCAAGTTTGGTTTGATTCCGTTGTTCGTGGAATTCAGACTGCTCTTTGATTGTAGGTTAATTAGAAATCCCACCAACTACAACCCTCAAATGACTAAATCAACCCCCCGCCACAACCCCATCAGTATTCAAATCTGGGCGTATCAGGTATTTGTGCCAAATGTGGTCCAGCGAATGAAAATCCATCCCACATATCAGATATTTACATTATGATTCATAACGGTAGCCAAACTACAGTTATGAAGTAGCAACGAAAATAATTTTATGGTTGGGGGTCACCACAACATGAGGAATTGTATTAAGGGGGCATTAGGAAGGTTGAGAACCACTGGTTTAGGGTGACAGGTATGGGTAAAGCAAAATAATCTCCCTAAAATACTAGGCAGATTAAGATTGGAGAACATGTGCCATGGGATTAAAAACTTCCTATGATGTGCAGGGAATGTGTAGGAGGAAATGGAATCCTATGTCCTCTTCCGACCGTTGACCTTAAAAACTACAGGGTTCCTTTTCCAGCATGTCTCTTACTCTGAATGCAGCATTTCTAATACAGATGGAAGTTACACTTCAGCAGATGATTGTAGGTTCTCATTCATGCCTTCTAATAATAGACATGTTCCCAGATTCCCTAGTAAAGCTGAGAAATAGGTCACTCCAAATAATTTGTGTGTCTTTCCAGGGAGACCCGAGGTGCACAAAAGTAATTAAAAGTAAAGCTTTTTTTTCAAACCTGGAATTACCATCAGTAACTTCCACAATATTTGGAATATTTGTTTAGATAGTTTATAAAATAAAAATGGAATTTGATTTCAGTTTCAGACTTGATTTGAATAGTTGATATAGGTCTAGTGGATGTGTAGTCTGCTGGTTCTTTTTTAAAATATAATCTTTATTGAAAGTTTTTCTTTTAAAATACAAAATAATGAAGATAGTAATAGCATATAAAAAAAAAAAACCCCAAACAAACCCAGACAAACAAATTAAAAAGAAGAGAGAAAAAGGGGGTGGGGGAAGGAAAACAAAAAACAGCAGATAAGTAGTTGTTCTGTCGCCGCTGGGCCTGTAATTAATTGACTTTAAAGACAGGATGTGTAACCTTTGCCCAGTGGGAAGCCAGGGGCCTAAGGAGAAGTTCTCAGAGGTTTCCACCACAAAGAGTCTTCAGATGGCTTGAGAAGTGCAACAAAGTCTTTTATTAATGAACAATCAAACGGGAACTTCTCTTATCTTCAGTAAAGTTAAGCAAATGGTTCCAAACTTTTAGGGAACTGGTGAATTCCTAATCTTGCCCATGAAGGACAGGCAACTGACTTCAATAACTTTTTCTTTAAAGGAAAGTCCCCCTTTTTAACTTCTCCCAGGGTAACTGAAACCCAACCCTCACTGTTGTGGGCTCTGCTACCGGGCCGAACTGCTTCTCGAACGCCGAGTGGACCTACCAGCAAGGCAGTGGATGTTCTCCAGCTGGAGTTCTTTAGTCTTTAAGGCTGTTTTCCTGGAAATTCTTAAAGCTGTGGAAATGCTTCCCTAGAATTCTTAAAGGTTGAAGCTTTTGTACAGGGGAAGTTACACACATCCTATACATAAACTAACCTGGCTGAGACTAACTAACAAAATGGCTCACTTCCCTTCCCAATTACCCTGAGCAAGGGGCAGGACCAAAACTTAACGATGATGGACAGGTGGCCTGCCCTATGACTGCAGCCAAAAGAAGCCACCTATCTACAGAGTCCCTGAAACTTAGGGCTACAAACAAACATTCAATACAAAGCAAACAAAATTGGAGCTCCTGGTAGAGTTGTACCAGAACAGTAGTTAAAAACTAGGAGAAGGATGGTATACACCTCCTTTGTTGACTTCCTGAGTAGTCTGCTGATTCTGTAGCATTAATTATGTCTCAGCTTATGTAGTCTGAGGATATGGACTGGGTCTTTACAGTGGTGACAACCACCACATGTGTATTAGATCCTTGCCCTTCCTGGCTCTTGAAATCAGCAAAAGTGGAACTGGCAGAGTAGGTAGGGAGATGATGAATGCTCGAGCACCTTTCCATCCTGCCTGAAAGACACTAATGAGGCAATTAATAGCGGGGAAAACCTTACCTGCCATACTAGAGAATTACAGGCCTTTTTCCAATGCTACTTTCCTCAGTAAGAGTCTAGATTGCCTGGTGACCTCCCAGATCCAGGGATTTCTGGATGAAATGGATTATCTCGATTCATTTTAATCTGGCTTCAGGCCTGATTAAGTGACGGAGACAGCTGTGGTCGACTTGGTGGATGACCTTCACAGGGAATTAGGCATAAAGTGTGTCCCCATGGTTCTGCTTGATTTCTCTTTTCTTCTTCCTTCCTGGAGATGCAAACTCTGGGGATTACCATATTTTCTGGTGTATAAGACAACTTTTAAACTGGAAAATCTTATGAAAAGTCGGGAGTTGTCTTATATGCCGGGTATAAAAGAGAAAATAAATAAAATCCAAGTCCCTTAATGGTGTGGCCTGAGGAGGAGGAGGGTGTGGGGAGGAGGAATGATAGGCCGCATTGCCATGGTGGCCCCGCTGCTCTTCCCGCTCTACTTTCAAGGCCTTCCTCCGCCCCCGCCACTCTCACCGCTCTACTTTGAAGCAACTCCTCCAACGTCGCCATTTCCGGGCAGCTGGGAGAGAGAGGAAGGAAGCAAAGCCATCCGATTGGCTGGCAGAAACTTCCAAAGGCCACTGGACTTGCCTAGAAGTGCCTCCAGATTACGACTCCCAGCAGCCCCGAGCAGCGGTGTGCCTTGTACTTGCCCGCTGAGGCATTCTGGGAGTCGTAGTTCCCAAATCACCGCGTTCTTGCCCGGCATTGACAAGGTTTGCATTTGGGATTTCTTGTGACTAGATGGGCATAGAATAGAATTGGGTTGGAAGAGGGGTAGTCTTATACGGCAAGTATATCCCGAACTCTATATTTTAACTTGAAAAGTTAGGGGTCTTCTTATACGCCCAGTCGTTTATTATGCTGGAAAATACAGTACCGTATGTTCCGGTGTAGTAGATGACTTTTTAAGCCTAGAAAATCTTATGAAAAGCCTGGGGTCATTAGTATGCCGGGTATAAATTAAAATTATAAGTAAAAGAAGAAATATAAAATCTCCCTTAGTGGCGCAGTCTGAGGAGGGTGGAGGGAGAGTATGGGTGCGGGGAGTGGCAGGCTGTGTTGCCACTGAGACCGTCTTGGGGTGATGGCCTGCTGGGATTTCCTGCGCCCCCTGCTGCTCTCTGTTCAATGACCTCCTCCACCCTCGCTGCTTACCTCTTCCGAAGGCCACTGGGCTTGCCTAGGCCCAAGGAAATGCCTCCGGATGACTCAGCAGCGCTGGTCGGTGTGCCTGGGATGTGCTCCCAGAGGCATTCTGGGAGCCGTAAGAGTCAGGGAACTCCTGCTACTAGAATGCCTCTGGGAGCATATCCCAGGCACGCCGCTGTCCAGCGTGGCTGGGAGTTGTCTTCCAGAGGCTCTTCCTTGGGCCTAAGATGAGCCCAGCGGCCTTTGGAGGAGGGCCTTGAAAGTAGTGTGGGTAGAGCGGCGGGGGCCGTGGAGACAGCCCAGCAGACCATCACCTCCAGCCGGTCTCCATGGAATGCGGTGTTATCTTAAACGGCGAGTATATCCCTAACTCCATATTTTGTGTTGAAAAGTTGGGGGGTCATCAATATGCTGATGATACCCAACTGTATGCTTTCTTTCCACTGGATCCAAGGAAGCTGTCTCAGTTCTGAACCAGTGTCCATAATGAACTGAATGAGAGTAAGCAAATTGAAATCTAATCCAGACAAGACAGGGGTCTTCCTTGTCTATAAAAAGGCAGATCACAGAATAGGGATTAATCTTGTGCTTTATGGGAAAGTTA